GATCCTCAGGTTTCTTCTGGTTTATATAGAAAGTCTTTTCCATTTTCAGTGTTGTCAGTCCCTTTTCTGGGTTTTCCATTAACTGTGTTTGTTGATCAGTTGAATCTTCTATCATAGTATTTGATTGTTCCACTTCTTCTATTATATTCTGTGTAGTTGATTCTTTAGCTGTAATCAAAGTTTGGGTTCGTATATCTAGGTTGACATCTTGTTCTTTTCTGTAGCTTCTTATTTCATCAGAAGCTGTAAGAATAGTTTCATAAATTGTTTTCAACATAAAGAGAATCTGTTCCTGAGCTTCATCCATGTTCTCTTAGTGGTGTGTTAAATTAAAAGCTTTACAATCAGAGAATGAAAATAATTTTGTCACTGAGTATAGAACACAGCTGGGCTTCTCAAGCTGATATCTGCCAAGGTTGCAAAAGTCTTATCTATAGTCTGGGCTTTAAGCCAAGTCTCTTTTAGAGAATAACAAGTTGTAATATCAGGTTTAGCCACAAGATGTCACCCATACTGTTTAAGATTTTTTTAAGTCCAAAATTTTTATAATCCTTTTTCCAATTTTACTTCTTTTTTGTAAGTAAAAACCCAAATCTTCAATAAGAATAAGAAATCTTTTAGTCCTCAAATTTTAGAAAGATAGAAATCCAGTTAGAATCAGGTTATTCTTTCAGTTATTCTTTTAAACTCCCCTCAATAGTCAGTCGCCGCTGTTTTTAGAGGGTTAGATAAAATTTCCCTTCCCTCTCTCTACAGGGGGAAAAATATTTTGGGCAGCTTATACAGGTGGAAAAAATAGTTAGGATTGAAGAGAGGTTCAGAACTCACCCAGTCTCATCTGCGCTGCTTTATAGGTGCCTGGTGGTAAGTTTGACTTCGGCTGCCTGCAGCCTAGTGACGGGCCATATTTCTATGGCCGGTCTTTCATCCGCCGGTTTGGAGGGCTGCCCCGGATCAAGCGGAAGGGCTATCATCCTCCCGCGATCAAGCGGGGGTCCCCTCCTTGCTTGTTGCCCCTACAGGGCAACTTTCAACCTTTTCCAGGGTCCCCCAGCGGTGTGAAATTGGACATGGAAGACGGAGCTTGCCTTCCAGCTTCCATAGTAGCTGCGGCGGCAAACCGGAAGTCTCGTTGCTTTTTAAATACTTAAATGTAAAATTAGAAAATCAATAAAACATTAAAAAAAAGAAAACATTCATGTTCATGTATTAAAAATATAGAACATATGCATGAAAATAAGCCAACAATATAATAAAAATATCATACTATTAATTTATTAGATTTTTTTTATCCCACTTTTATTATTTTTATAAATAATTCAAGGTGGCAAACATACTCCTTCTCCTATTTTCTCCACAACAACAACTCTGTGAGGTGGGTTGGGATGAGAGAGAGTGACTGGCCCAGCTAGTCACCTAGTCCTAGCTAGCTTTCATGCCTAAGGAGGGACTAAAACTCACAGTCTCCTGTGTTTTAATTAATTTAAACTTATATGCTGTCTACCTTTCAGTGGCTCTGGGTGGTTCACCAGAATAAAGCAAAGAAATTATAAGAAACCAATAAAAGATTGCAAGCAAGATGAAGCGAGTGATCTCCCTCTGCCTTTCCAAAGGCCTAGGTGTAAAGCAGTATCGATAACATTGAGCAAGATGGCATAATTTCAGTCAGCAATCGATCCCCAGAACAGCTCAGTTTTTAGCATCTTCAGACTAGGCCAGTGATGGCAAACCTATGAGACCCATTTCAAAGGTGAACACCATGAAGTTTCAGGTAACATGCCTGTGTTCACTAGCCCCCAACATCAATAATTCTAAAAAGGGTGCCCTCCTCACATCCAATTTTCGGAGGCCATATGAGAATGGCTGTGTTCTTGTGTAGCCTCCGAACCTGAGGTGGCCCTTTTTGAGTGGTAGTGGAGGCCCTAGGGCGGTGGTGGCGAACCTATGGCATGCGTGCCAGAGGCGGCACTTGGAGCCCTCTCTGTGGGCACACGTGCTGTCGCACCAGCCCTGCCTCCACCCATGACTCCCTCCTCACCAGCAGCCCCCCCCCAGAGGGGAGTCGCCCCTGAATGCGGCCCATGCAGAGCAGCACAGCCAAGCACACGGAGCCGGGCAGCGGAGACAAGACTCTGCCCTCGCACTCCATTGTGCACAGATGATGATGCAGGATGCGGGTGGAGGGCATGGCCACCATGGCGCTGCTGGGCCACCTGGGCGATCTGCAGTGGGTTGTGGAGGCAGGTGGAGCGGGGGCAGAGCAGGCTGGGGGCAGAGCGGAGTTGGTGGGACAGGCGGGACGGGGGCGGTTTTTGGGCACTCGGTCTTTAAAAGTTTTGCCATCACTGTCCTAGGGTGAAGTTGAGGCCTGGGCCTCTACTTCAGTCCAGGCTCAGCACTGCCACTAAATAGATGGGGGGGGGAGAGAAAGAACTGTTTGTGTTTCATTTAGGTGTGTGTGTGTGTGTGTGTGTGTGTGTGTTTGTGTATGCTTGACATAGCAAGCCCAAAAGGTTTGCCATCATTAGAGTAGACAGTCTGAAAAGAAATCAAAGGGAGGGCAATTCCATGGGAGACATTTTCACAGCAGCAATACTACTATTGAATAGCAGCACCCCTGTACTTCAGTCCTCTCCACTTCCATCAAACTGAGGTATTACCAGCAGCTTCTGCAGGACAGAGGCATCGGGCAGGACAATCTCAGGTAGAGAGTGTGGTCCTCAGAGAGTATGTATCTAGGTGGTAAAGCCAGAATGTTGGATTGTTCTTAGAAGTCTAGAAGAAGCCAGGCAGGTTTGTAGCATTGGAGTAATATGCTCTTGGTCTTGTATACCGACTAACAGACAAGCTGCTGCATTCTGGCCCATTTGGACTTCCAGATGGTTTTCAAAGGCTGCCACAGGTTGTTGAACATGTTGCAGTAATTTAACCAGGTCAGGATGAAGGCATGAGTTAGTGAATTAAACTGTATATAAGGGGTAAAGGCATATAAGCTAGTGCACAACTAGTAAACTAGTTAAAGCTGAACAAAGGCCCCTGGGCCAAAACTTTCACCTGCCCTGGCTGTAAGCATAATCTTGAGTCCAAGAGGACCCCTAAATTATGGACTTGCTTCCTCAGGAATTGTATTTCTCTATCCAGTGACAACACTGGGGTCAAGAGAGAACCTCAAACAAAACAGCAGCAGCTCTGTCTTGTTTGCCTACTCAGTCCCACACTGACCCTACCAGCCTCTGGAAACCAGGACAAAATATTAATGGCATTTCCAGCCCAGTATTGGTAGCAGCGTGAGGCTGGATATCACAAGATATTGATAATATTGCACCCTCAACCAGTGGATTATATCTTTGTATAGATTTTAAAAAGCAAAGGGTAGAAAACCAATGGTTTAACCCTGCAACTTCCCACACAGCTGTAGCCTGTAGGCCATCCCCTTTGTCTGTGGTAGCCATTATTTTTATTTTATTTATTAAATTTGTTTGTCATCCTTCTCATCATGAGTGGAGAGGAGAGAGCCTTTCCTAACTTGCTACCTTTCAAATGTGTTGGATGACAACTCCCAGAATTACCAGCCAATTGTGAAGGTACACTGTTTTCAAATTAGAAATATGCTAAGTTCTGAATATAATTGATGACTCAATTCCATCTGAGGGTAGGAGGTAGGTATAAACCAGGTGATGATCTGGCCTGCCAAATGGCAGCATTGGCCTAAGAGGGATGGAGGAAGAAAACGGAAACTTTGATGCCAAACTTGGGTTTAATTGACAAAAACTCAACAAACAGCACCTGCTACAGTGCAACACAATGCCAGAACAATTTATTATGATTGTCCAAAGTGACAAGAGGATATCTGAATTTCAGTTTACTGTACACCAAAGTATACTGAAAATTACCTTGTGTTGAATTGGTGCAAATGACATTGCAATGTTTGCCAGATAATCTGTAATGACCTCTTTATTTAAAAAAAAATCATCCAGATGTTATGCTGTAGAAGAATCCATTCTTATCCAAACTTCTACTATAAAAATAGGACATGTTAAACCAAATGCCATATATATTTGAATTTCAGGAAATAAGTATCACAAATGAGTATCATTTTTTTAGACAGAATTTTTAAAAAGCACATTCTCTCCAGTGTTCTTCATTTAGTCCTTGCCATCAGAACAAAATTGATTTCTTGTAGCCATTATAACAGAAATAGGTCCTGTGGAGAAAATAATCCAGTGCCCCAGGGAAGCCAATTCAACCAACAACAAAGCACATGCTGTACACTGAGAGGCTGTTGTTGTTCTTATTTTACAATGGGTGGGAGGTATATCACCATACATAATACATGTTCTTGTGAAATCTAACATGATTAACAGTTCATTTATGTGTACATAAATTTTAGTGAGTCCGTGTTGCATGTTCCTAAGAATATTTTATTCTGAGCCTGAGTTTAAGGCCTGAGTACAAACAATACAAGTGTCCATGGTAGCTCACCCCACTGTTTCAAAGTCCCTGACCCAAACAAACAGCTTCATTCTCCGGCATAGTTATCTTCCTTGTCTGAAACTCCCAGCATCAAAGATTAAAAAAGACCTGAGAGCCATTTAATCTAATCTCATTCATAGATATAGAATGCTATTATCAGTAATACAGAGTATACTTGTAGCACTCTCTTAGTCCATATTTCATATTTGATTGCTGGCTAATCTCTTAAATTAAACACACTGCCAAAAATGTACAAAGCATTCCACTCAAGTAGCTCCCTACCCATCACTCTTGTGGTCACCTTGGCCTCAGTGTGGTATGACCATTGTTATTATAGATCTTTTTACAATAGATTAATTATGGCACAGACTTATTTTTGGAACAATAACTAATAACTATATGGAACCTTGGTTGAGCCATCTGTCAATTCTAGGGTTTTTTAATCCCATGTTTTGAAAAATAATCTTTACATTTAAACAATTATAGCAATTATACTTTGATTGGAAGCCACTACTGCAAGAACTACCTTAAGTAATATTGAAAGTGATAAAAGAATTGGTAGGTTTCTCTTGATGACTCAGCTGTTCTGCCTCATTCCATGTCTGAATTGGGATGTGACAGCATGTAGAAGCTCCTGTATGTACAGGCTCATTGACATCCATTACCTCTGTCAAGTCTGCCTCCAAAGTACTAACTGTGTGGGTCACCTGTGCTACATGAACTTTGTTGGTTACTCTTTTATGCAGAAGGCAACTGAAGATCTTCTTGAATCCCTTCCGGAAATGCTTCGATACCAGGGCATAGACAATAGGATTGACACAGGAATTGGCATATGAGATTAGGTGAGACAGGACCCTGAGCACAAAGGTAACATTGTTGAGGGGAAAATAGCCAAACCAAAAACAAAGGATGACCAAATGATGGGGCAGCCAACAAAGGCAGAAGAGAACAGTCACAATAATGATCATCCGAGTGACTTTGCGTTTACCTTTCTTAGAATCAGACATGATTTTCATGGGATCCACAGATGTCCAGAGATAGCGGATGGTCTTTAAATAGGTGAAGCTGAGAATCAACACTGGGATGACATAGCTGAAGACAAATGTGCAGAGATCCATAATCTTGCGCTGTGACATTTCCCAGATGGGATGACAGACAGTAATGTTGGCAATCTGATACTCCTGGAAGTAGCTGACATACGGTCCAGAGAAGATGAATGAAAGACCCCAGATGAAGCAAATTGCTGTGACAGCATTCCTAGGTGTTCTTAGTTCTCTCGAATGCAAAGGATACCTTATAGCCAAATACCTAGGTAGACAAAAGGAAAGCAAGGAAAAGCTACAATATTGAGGTATGCCAATAGGTAAAGAAAATTCAGAGTTAGTAGCCTGCAACTACTTAGATGAGTACAATAGTATTCTGTGAGTAAAGAGCCATGGCTGCAGAGCATTCCTCCTGGGAACTGAAAGATATTCATGTTAGGAGAGATGGTAGCCACAGGTATTGAAGGGCAGAGAGTATTAGGGCGAAAAGAAAGGAGGAGGAGACAACAACTGGGAAGGGTATGGAAGCCTCTGGAGTATAGTTCTTTACCATGCTAGTCTAAAACCTTATTGGTTTTATACTGACACTTCAGGAGTGCTCCATTTTGCTGTGCTGTATACAAAACAAGTCACAAGTCACCATCTCACAAAGTGAAAAGGATTTTAACCACTTCTTCAAGTTGGGATCAGGGGAAGCTCTGCCTAGCTAAGTTGCCAATGTTTGGTGATGCAATGTTTTGCAAAGGTTTGGTCCAGTCATTGAGAATTAAGCTAAAAAGCATTACACATTCTCCTCCCAACATGGACATACTGTAGATATAGACATTTTCAAGTATAGTTTTTAATATACAGTATTTGGTAGGGAGTTTTGGTTGAAAAGGCTCTCGGCATTAAAAAGAAAAATGGATAATATGTTAACCTCCTATCAACAGCCCACGACCAAGAAACCAAAAGTCACAGAATCTCGTTAATTGAGTTCATTGTTAGGAAAAGAGGTTATAGAATCTTAGAAAGTGGATAAATTAGATAACCATATGTTAGCACATACATTGAAATGGAAACTCTGAGATTTGTTTGAGTTTCTGTATTACAAAATTCCTAACGACAACCTGACACTTTTCTTGAGACAGAAGGCTGAATCTGGCTTCCCTATGGGCTTTGCTTGTCAGAAGGTCGCAAAAGGAGATCGCATGACCCCAGACACTGCAACTGTCATAAATATGAGTCAGTTGCCAAGCATCTGAATTTTGATCACGTGACCATGGGGATGCTGCAATGTTGTAAGTGTGAAAAACAGCTATATCAGTTACAAGTTATTTTCAGTGACATTGTAACTTGGAAAGGTCACTAAATGAACTGCTGTTAGTCAAGGACTAGGTGTGTATGTGTGTGTATAATATCTTGCTACCCGACAAAACGTATTTGTACACAAATTCATATATCCTAGTACTATTAGCACTGGCCGAGTACCATGGTACAGAACTATTGTGTTCTAGAAAAGAAAGTCCAAAGATCTGAAGGATACCAGAACTGAAGGATGCCAGGAATGAGAAAGCCTACATAGCTGCAGAAACAGCTTGCACTGCCTTCTCCCAGGATTTTCAATTCTCCAATCTTATCTAAAGTTCTGGGATTTCTTAGTGATCTTCTCTCAAAGTAATAAAAATATGCAACATTACTTAGTCTGTTTGTTTTTTAGATTAGCAAGATAGGCTAGGTGCTGCCATCAGCTGTGACTTCCATTATATATATATAAAACTATGCTTTCTATTCCATGTGGAGTAGAAACCGCTCAAACTTCCTTAGATATATATAGCTTCTTGACGTTTCTTTTCCTTGCCTTCCTTATTTGGCAAGCATTAGTGTACCCTGCCTAATGTTTGGAAATGTTAGAATTAGTGTACTGGTCCACATACTGGAAAACTGGTAAATGTAAAAGGCTGTTGGAATAATCACTTCTACACTGTATGTGTGTTTTAAAAATATTCGATATTTGATTTGGAATAATTGTTTGAATATCTCTCCGTTCTTTAAAAAAAAACAGTTTTCCAATTATGTTGAAACACAGGCTGTATGCACGTGTTTTCTTCATTCTTGAAATCATCTTGACATAATGCATATCCACAGATATTACATTCACATGAGAATGTAAAACTCACAACAGTATATAAAAGTATTAGGAAACAACCACAAGTATAAGCAGCATCAGAAGCAGTTGAAGAATAATGCAAAGTATGGTTTGTCTTCTGTTGCAGACTAACTTGTGTTCTGTTCAGCAATGTGTGTTCTGGTTTAGTGATATGGAATGCATGTTATTCTTTAAAAAGAATAAAAAGAATGCATGTTATTCTTTAAAAAGAGCACACTATGATCCTATATCATATTATTAATTTTATATTCTATTATATTAAATGTCTAAGATGTCTAACCCAAATAATTTATAGAACTTTTTTCAATTTTCATGGGAATATTTTTAACAATCTGTGAGTAATTTACACATAAAAGAATAAATATATATCACCAGACAGCTAGGATTCACTGAGGTTTCATCAGATTAAGGTTGCCAAATTTCATTTGCAAAAAATCAAGACAGCTGCTAGATGGTAGATAGCAATATAGATACCAATAAAGTCTTTGCATCCAGATCTGATAATTTGTGACAAACAATGACTTGTCCTCACAAAATTTAGAGTTGCATTGAGTAAAAAGAATACGCTCTTTAATGTTAGAATCAAACCCCCCTCATCAAAGCAGGAAGGAAAATCTGAAAGCAGAATGAAGTTTCTGAATAACAAATCCCTTACTGGAATAAAAACTGCCTGTGGAGGTTACCTGTACCTACATATCTAAGTTACACCCCAATAAAGTCAAATGGGACAGGAGCCTAGCAGATGCTAGACATTTCATTGTTTATAAAGTCTCTGAAAGTTGGATGTAACTGAACATATGAATAAGAGAGAGAGCACTATATTTTTCATCAGTTTCCCCACTCAATAGAGGCAGAGGTAAAGGTACTCTGTAAATGCTTTGAATTAATGTATGTAATTTATTTCATCTACTCCATCAGCAAGAAACTGCCTAGAATAGATGGTCACACTATATTGCAAGATTTTACACTAAATGACTGTTAGAATATCATATTTCTGTATAAATGCAGAAAAATAAATTTAAATGTAATAGTTAAACTATTGGGTGTTGTTGATATCATAACTCTACCAATGCACCTGACATTTTGCAAATTAGAGATAACCCCTTCCAAACAAAAATATTGCTTTTCTATAAGAGAGGCACAACATTACGATGTTCCAATAGCCGTCTAGTGCAAAACCTTGCAATATAGTATGGCTGTCCACTTAAACTCATTTAAATTTAAACTTACAGTATTTTAAACTGAGTTTTTCAAGAGATGCATGTTCTCCCTGCAGGTTATGAGACAAAGTGGGGGAGGTGTTCAGGGAGACTGGAAAGTTATAATTGTTTGAAAGTTAAAACCGTATAGTAGTTTCCAAAACTACACCATGACTTTCAAAATCCAGCCCTTCTCCCCAGCCCTTCAGCTTACTCACCTGTCTAAGGATACAGTTGTGAGAGTGAAACTGCTGGCATACATGGTCAGATAGATGAAGAAATGCACTGCTTTACACATGAAGGGACCAAAGATCCAATCATCCAGGCTATAGATGGTGGCCTGGAAAGGCACGCAGAAGACAATGAAGCAGAGGTCAGCCACACCTAGATTGAGGATGAAGAGGTTGGTGGTATTGGTTACTTGCCCGTTCCTCAGCAGCACTGCAAGGACTAGAGAGTTGCCCACGGTGCCTATTAGGAAAATCAAAGAGTATACCAAGGGAATGATTACAGAGATCAGCTGCCAAGTGTTGCTCTCACTAACCCCTGAAGAGTTTAACAGGGTCAGTGTTCTGTTCATCTTGGAAGCAAAGTGTCCTCTGGTAGGGAAGAAACGGAGTCAAGATGCTTTCGCTCCCTGGATTTGCCAGAAATGCTCAAATCACTGACAGCTGCAGATTGCTTTCAGTCAAAACTTCTTGGGGGAAAAAAAAAATAACAATTTTCTTCTTAGCGGATATTTTCTGCTACTTTTCCATTTATAATCCTGCAGATCAGAGGAACTTCCATTCACTGATGCCAGACCTCTGTCTGCCATCACATACTGTGAAAGCTGTACTTTTTCTTGAAAGCGGATTTCCACTTTGTGCAGTGCTGAAACGCTTTTTGGTTTTCTGCCGTGCCTCTCACAGGAAACCATTCACTGGCAGCCACTCTCGTAGGTGTGCAAGCTGAGACTAAACTTCATGCCAGTCGTGCTCACTGCCCGTTTTATATTCCCCTCCGAGCCTGTTATATTCAGCCTGTGCTGAATCCTCCTTCATCATATTCATGGGGACAACTAATATATTCAAGACATCCCCTTGTTTCCAGGGAGACAAACAGCCAAAATAAAAGTAATGGTGTCTATGGAAATACAGCCCCCTCCTCACACACACACACACACACACACACACACACACACAGAGAGAGAGAGAGAGAGAGAGAGAGAGAGAGAGAGAGAGAGAGAGAGAGAGAGAGAGAGAGAGAGATATTCTCTCTGATCATTTACTGTAGGTAGTTGCCCAAGTGTTTTAGTTGGAAGGTTTCAGGAAGTTTCCACTGAGAACTTAAAATGCAGTTGAATGAACAGCACAGTCTGGTAGGTCAGAAAAAGAACCTCTTGTGCTGCAAGTTCTCATCCAAAACATTTCAAACACCTACTGGGAATGTGATAGTACATTCACTGACAGTTGCCATATAGGGCCAATGTAAATGTTTTACATACTGTTTTCCTCAGATTCTGACAAATGTTATCTCTAAAAATGTGCCTGCACTAACATCAGCAACCAGGAGCAAGGGATATATATGCTCAGGACACTGGGTCTGGAATTCAGAGTTTGAGGAAGGGGCAGGGGCAGTGGAGTAGGCTCAATGGGGAGGGATTCACACAACTCATAAATCGGCTTGTTTGGCTTTGGCTTAGAGGAATGTGTGAACTTGGCCAGTATGATTTGCAAACCATAGTCGATTGTGGATGTTGACTACGGCAAAGAGTTGACTGGAATATAGTTCAGGAGCACGGAAGCGAGGCGGAAGCAATGAGGACAGGATTTAGAAGGCAATAGATCTGTATCAGTTTTGCCAGTTCAGAACGTACTTTCCTCCTTGCAGTTTTGTGATCAGGGATATCAGAAATCTACTAGGTTACTCTGTGAAAGGAACTTAAGGATACTTTAAATTTTGAGAGACTTCTGTAAGGTTTTCCACTTAGCCTCACAATTGCCCCAGCGTTACTCAGGAATTTAAAAGAGCCAAAGAAACTCCTGAGCCGAGGTTTCAACAAAGATTACAATTTTATTTTGATCAAAACAGAGAGGGGCTGCCTGATTCCTCTTTGTGGCTGGTAGAGGAATGAAGGCAAGCAAGCAGAAAAGATGTCTTCCACCTTTTATACCTTTCCAGAACAAAAAGATCAGGTCTTGGTACCAGGCATAAGATGGCACAAAAAAACAATTCTTAGACGATGACTCATACACAGCAACCCAGGCTCCATCCGTAACTCCTTTTCCCCCTCCCCTTACTGTGCTCTTTTCATATAAGCAATCACCTATACTTAAAGCATGAAGCCCTTACTTTTCCAATATATATATATATAAAGCATCTGATCAAGCAATTAACTACAAAATAATGATTACAAAATAACAAAACAATGATTACATGATAACACTATAAGTCTCGATATAAAATGGTTACTACATATAAAATAAATGCTAATGTCAAACTTAAACATACTAAAATCATAAGCACAATAAAATCCCTTCACTTCAATGTTTCTTTTGGAAGATTCTGACCATTTCTTCCACATAAGTCACTTTTTAAATCTATTTTATGAGTAAGTCTATCTGAGCAACTTGGTGTATTATTTAGGAAGCTTAAATACATCTACTGTATGAACTGACTTCAAGGGGATTCTGGTTCATACAGAAAGCAGATTAGGATATTGGTGGAATTGTGGATAGCATTTTTAAAATTATACTTGTTTTGTATGCATAAAAATAAGTATAATTTTAAACATACAAACCATAGCTACAGCAATCATTATAATATGTGGAATATCTCCTCTTTGAAAAAAAAGGCAGGTTTTGATGGCCCTCTGGAATATGGTAGAGATGGAACCTCTTGTATCTCTGGAGCAGGATGATCTCCCACAAGAAACCTTACCCATGGGGATTCTGATAATGTTCCCTTTGGGACGGAAAGTGCAACAAGCCTAGATCTTATGATGAAAGAGTCTCAAAGACAACCTATGACAAAGAAGAGCTGCTCCATGGAGCAATTAAGACAGCCTCAAATAAGGCAATATTTCAGTTAAGCAGCATTCCACTATTGGAAATATATTAAGGAACAACAACACATGAATAAGGAAAAGGATTTCAATGCCTTTTAATTGAAACTGCTACAGTTGCAGCATTCTTGCTTCGTGAACTGTTCTCTCTACATGGGTACTTTTCTTTATCGCCAGCATTTCAAGCTAGAACTACAAGAAAATCCATAGATAGATGGATAGATAGATGGATAGATGGATGGATGGATAGATGATAGATAGATAGATGGTGTATGTGTACATATGTGTGTATTGTTGTGATAGATAAGAGAGGGGTTGTGATAAATAAGTATAAGTTGCTGCCACTTGGTTGCCACAAATCATAGCCACCAATAGATTAACTGTAGATCACAAAACAACAAAAAAATGCAGTATGGTGACAAATAGTTGAGCTGCTCTTGCTTCCTGTGCCTCAATTCATGCTTCTTCCTGAAGGAAACAATTCATTTTCTTCCTTAATTAACTTCCCTTAGAGCACACAGCCACCCTGATACTGTTCCAGCTGTCCCAGATGAGCATGAGCATGGGACAATAGGTGGACCAAGCAGCTGCAGCCCATCTGGTTGTTTTTTACAATGCAAGCACTTTGTTCAGCCTCTTATTCTGCTTTGGAATAACAACAGGAGGAAATATTACAAGGGACTGTGTCTCCTCTCTGGCCAAAAAGACATGCAAAGATATTCAGATAACCTAAAAGTTAGCTTGAAACTTTACTCCCAGAACTGGTTCAGAACTTCTATCAATCAAACAATTTGGAGTTAAAATTGTTTTGATAGACTTTTTTCATCATTTCTGACATCAATAGGAAAGATTCCAATAATTATATGTGCCCCGATCACCAAACAGCTTGATCAGTAGAAGGGTCCATCCTGGAAGGAGAAAGAATGCCCAGTTCTCAGGTAATATAAATGCTTACTGAATCACCAAGCTTGAGGAAATACAATAGACCAGGGGTCCCCAACCCTGGTCCATGGACTGACACCAGGCCGCAGCATGCCAGAAACCGGGCTGCGCAAACAAGCAAAGCCCCGCCCATGGTATGCAGGAGTACATGAAACCACACCCCCTCCGCTCCACGGCAAAACCTCTCTCCACTGAACCGGTCCCTGGTACCCAAAAGGTTGGGGATCTCTGCAATAGACTGACTGGGTAAACGTCTCAGAGAGAATGGTTCTAGTTCAGATTTCTGCTTTGGCTGTGACACAGATGTATATTACTAGCTCTTATTCTCTTTATGTCATTCTTTTTACTAAAAGTTTAGTGAAGCCTTTCCCAAGCTAATGTCCTCCAGGTGTATTTACACAGTAGTTTTCAGAATCTCTCTGTTGGCCAGGGATAATGGTAATTATAGATCCAAACATCTAGAAGGCAACATGTTGAGAAAATTGAATAACAATTCCACTTCTATTCGATGCTCCTGGAACCTAGCAGGAAAACTTGTATCTCCCTTTCAATATAGACACTGTAAAACATGAAACATGACTAGGAAGGGAGCCATCAGATAAGAAGCATCTCTTTACTCTCATTATCCTAGCAACACAACACTGAGGCTTTGAAGTTACCCACTATGCAGTAAATCAGCTTCCACTGGCTTTCTCATTCAAAAGTTCACAATCCAAAAGGTGCTGAATAGCACATGGATCCTTTCAGATTAGAGGAAATTGCACAGAAACCACAGAGGCAGTGTGGAAAAAAAAAACGAGAAACAGCATTTTAACAACCTTTATTCGTGTTATTATGTCCTTCCACAGGCAGAAGAGATGCAAGTTTGCTACCAAGCTCATTTTAAAGAAAAATATCATCATCCTCCAACTGGGAAATGTATCACACAAAGCAGCGGTTATAACAGAGCAGAAAGTACCATTGAAAGCTGATGTGTGAATGTATTTTACAAGGCAAAACAATATCCCTCCTATCGGCTCAAAATGATTAAAAAAGCTCAGAGAAGGAATATAATCTATGGCTGGAAGGGTGAAGAAAATGAACTAGTTGGAGCCTATCTATTTCCCTTCCCACTGTGATCAGCATTGGAAAAATAAATAAATAAGTATTCTTTGGAGAGAAGAGTTGAACTCCAATGGATTAAACAAGTACACATCCAGTAGCCCAATTCCAAGACTGGTACATAGTTCCAAATACTGCACTTAAAAAGGAGTTTGTGCAAGGAAAGAGCAACCAAAATTATAGGAAATTACAAGAGCTGCTTTAAAAGGAAAGGGGTGCTTTTTAACTTAGAACAAAGACATAACTTAGAACAAAGACAAAGAATATGAGATTCAATACAAATATATTAAACATGTTAGGAACAAAGGGGAGAAAAAAACATTTGTTTTTCACATTCAAGAATATTAGAATTAGAGATCATTCATTGAAGCTAAATTTAAGGAGATTCAGGCCCAACTGAAAAAAAATGTTTTAGATAAAGTACAATTATGCAGTAGGATGACTAGAATTTAATACAATTAAATTTTAATTAAACAAATCAGGTTTCTTCCCATTCCCTCTTCATTCTGTACAAACAAAATCAAAGAAATGAAAGAGTTCCTTCAGGCTATGGAATTCAATCTGCAACTTCATCTAGATCAGTGGTTCTCAACCTTTTTAATGTCGCGACCCCCAACCGGTCATAAGTCGAGGACTAAACCGGTCGTAAGTCGAGGACTACCCAACTGGTCGTAAGTCGAGGACTTTCCCTGCCCGGGAGCGCCGCGCATGCGTGGTTCCGCCCCCTGCGCCGGCCGAGGCGTAGCTGGCAAGCGGCAGAGACGGAGCAGGCCGACCACCAGCTGGCCCAGCTCAAGGGAGGTAAGGCACCCGCCAGAAAAGGGGAAAAA